ATGTTGGTGGTAGTGATGACGATGGTGATGTGGATGATAATGATCAGGATGATTATGACAGTGATGATGATGACGACGGGGATGATGATGATGATACAAGTGTTATTACTGTGGCTGGTGATGATGGTGATGATGATGAGGACAACGACGACAATGGTGATGATGATGATACAAGTGTTAATACTGTGGCTGGTGATGATGATGATGATGATGACGATGACGACGATGATGACTTACTTGCACAATACATCAATATTCATATTCAAAACTGATCACCAATGCTTATTGTTGTTACAAAATTGTTAAAATGATAAATGCCAGAATACTCAAATTTAGTGAAAAAAAATATTTTCGAAGTAAAATTTCCCAATCGCTGTCGGTGTCAGGAAGTTTTTTAAACGTTGTTTCCAGTCCAATGCGTCTGGAATGAATTCTTCTTCTTTAATAAATTCTTCTTCTATGGTTTCACCAATAGCTTCGTGACAATATTAAACAAGTTGTCTACAGAGTATATAAGAACAATCAAATAGTTACTATCATTTGAATTAATTTATTTTTTTATCTTTTAATGAAAATTTTTTAACCCTTTTTAATAAAATCATTTTAATCTTCTTCCATTTTTCAACCCAAACAAAACAATCTGGAAGAAGTGAAGAATAAAAATAAAGAGAACATATAAATAGCCCACCAAAAATACAAGCCAAGCCTGCCATGAAACGCAACAGAAAAATTTCTCATATAAAAAGATAAATGAAAGAATGGTTTGGTGAATAATTAAAAACAGCGTAGATGCTAAATGCTAGGTGGCTGTTATTTTTACGATCTTCACACCGTCATCCATCCTTCCGTCGTTCTCACACATTCCATTCATCCTTCTGTCGTTCTTATATCGTCCATCCATCCTATGGTCATTCTCCGACCATCCCTCCATCCCTCCGTCGTTCTTACATCCTCCGTCCATCCTGCTGTCCCTTCCAGCTGGAACACTCACGCACGTTCCTGTCAATGATGATATTTGAAAATATGAAAATTTAAGCGAGCGATCGGACGCAATCAAAAATTCATGAGTTTCAACATCGTCGTCGGTCCCTCACACGTAAACATAAAAAAATATATGAAACAAAATATATAAAAAATAATATGCAACACACACATGCACGCACACACACACATTCACATACACACACACACACACACACACACACACACACACACACACACATATATATATATATATATATATATATATATATATATATATATATATACATAATGGTTAGCACGTAGTAAGTGCGTGCGTGCGTGTGCACCCGTTTATTTATTTGCGCGCCAAATGACATACGCGCGCAAAAGAGTTGATATTAAAAAATATTTTTGAGAGATTGATGGATGGGCGAGATGTCACGTGGTACATTAACGTGCGAGTGAGGCTGACCACGACAACAACATATGTGACGTCATAATGCATGTCACGTGATGTAAATAAGTAAAAGTATAAATAGGTATTTTCTATACGCGTCTGTCTGTTGCATGCACCATGTCAGTATGATAAAATTAACTATATTAAATTATGCCACTGACACAAATGACATAAACAACAATAACATTAGCCAACAACAAGCAACTTCATCAACAACAACAACATCATCAACAACAACAACATCAACATTAACAGCATGACAGAAAACAAGTGTCAATTTGAGCACAATCATTAATTCAGTCACACAAAACATGTCAGAAAAACAGTCAAATCAATTGTGAGAAAAATATTCCTTCTTTTTGTTTTATTTGTCTGTGGTTTTTCAATGAGTTTGAAATAATGATCTATGCGAAGCAGCAATGTTAGCAACCTTAGACGGACAGTATTTTTATTATCATCAAAAAAGTTCTTTGTTGTTGTTGTTTCAATTGCACGTTAACCTGCATACACGGTGCTATAATGTACCATATACTCAATCAAGAAATTTTGATATTTCTAATGTTACGCTTATTATTTTATTAAAATTATTTGGAAGCATTTGGAACCTTCACTGAATTCAACTTTATTTTTTTATTCAAATTTGCTGCCCATCTTCTTGAATTAAAAAAACTATTATTGCCGGCAATAAAACAAAAATCGTCCACTTGTTTTTCTTGTCTATTTACGACTTTATATTCAACCCATCCATCTATACGTTCGTCCATCCGGTCGTCCATCCTTTCATTCATGTTTCATTCATCCAACTATTCATCCATTCATTTATTCATCCATCCATCTATTCATCCATTCATCCACCCATTCATTCATCCATCTATTCATCCATCCACCAATTTATTCATTTACTCATTTATTCATAAATATTTCCATCCATGTTTTTGTCCATCCATCCACCGGTCATTCATTCTTTGTTTTCCCCTGTTAAGTTTAAGATCCAAAAGGCCCAATAAAAACGCATTGAGAAGCAGCGTGGTTCACAGAGGCGCGATGACGTCATGGTAATGAACATGAACGTTAGCGGAAATAACATGGAAGGAATCTTCATCATATAAAATAAAACGACGATGCAAAATATTATGACGTAACCAAGATAATCACGTGATGAAGCTGGTGATGATCGCGACGATAGTGACGGTGATGATGTGACGATAATAATGAAAAAAATATGATGATGATGATGATGATGATGATGATGATGATGATGATGATGATGATGATGATGATGATGGGGATTGTGGTGATAATGATGATAATGATGATAGTTCTGCATCTGCTTATGATGACGACGACGACGACGAAGATGATGATAACGATGATGATGACGATGATGAAAAGGACGATGATGATAACGATGATGATGACGATGATGATAACGACGATGATGTTGGTCACGATGGTACATGACCAGCCGACGAATAATTATTAATTAGTGACTCA